TTTGCAGCAAGTGGTTCTGGTATATTTTCAAATAAAAGAAGGAGCTGCCAGCTTCAAAAGATGGGGAAGCACTTTGGAGCACAATGTAGCACAATACTGATAATTGCTGTAAAGTAAATATCACTGTAGTGTTTCAGCTATGCAGCATAAGTGACGTGTGTTCACTAGGAAACTTTACCTAACTCTTGAACTGGCTTTGTCTTACTCCAGCTGTTGCATGCGTGTTGTCCACAGCTATGCACCAATTCATGCAACTTCTATGTGTAGTTTTTTGGAATAATTTTCAGTTTTTCTAGGGATGCATATGTGTATCTAATGTATAAAAAAGCTGTCACTCGTGTGGACTTCAATATTAAGGTAGATGATGGTACAGAAGAATTTAGATGCAAGTCTGAGACTAGAGCTACAACTCAGATATAGTGTTTGACACAATGAACTGTTTTTTTACCAGAAAAACTGTCTGCGCTGTCAACAGGTACAAAGTATGTATGGCTAAAACAAAGCAATTCCTTGTTTTATTTTCTGACTCTGGGCTTTTTTTGACAAGTTGATTCACACTTCACAAATATTTTGGGTTGCTATTTTAGTGAATGTATTAAAGCTTCTGATAAATGCATCATTAATTAGAGAAAAATACAGCAACTGGAAGAAATTATGATATAACATTTTTATTTCTGAAAATACATTTAGCTATTCAGTCCTCTAATATACTGAATTTGGGGGACTTTTGAAAGCCTAAATATTATTGCTGTATTCCGAATTAATCTAAATGGTTTAATGGGCTACTTAAATGCAAATGATATTTTGTCAAGCAAAGTGTAATAAAAAAAATAAAAGAATGGCACTTCAGGAGACCACAAGTTTGAAATCAGAATTTCCATTAGTCTTTCAATTCTGTGTAGTGATCCTGTGTGTTCTGCTCTATTATTCCACGAAATAAGCTTATTTAAACTGATGGAACAATATCAGTATTGTGAATCTATTTATGTAGGTTCAACTAGACTGTTCATAAACCCAATATCATACATTATCAGTTCTGTTTAAAGAAACAATAGACAGCATTGCTTCTACATGTAAATGCAATCACCTTCCCTTCATAAAGTTAAATTGGCTTCATTTAAGCACTTACGCTGCCTGAAATAAGCTGTTGAGGACATTACAATTTAACCCAGGGCACAGGGGATACTTTTAAGCTTTCAGCAAGTTTACATCAGTATAATGGAAACAGAAGGGAAATGCCTTAATTCAGATATAAAAGAACAAGTACTGTGTGTGTCATAGATGACACATCATTCTGTTTTTCAGACAAGACTTTTCAAAAGGTTAATGATATGTATTGCTTCAAATTTTATATGCCAGACTTCAAAAATAAGGAAATTGATTCAGAAATGTTCAGAATTACTTCTGAATATCAAACTCTGCAAAATTTTGTAAGGTTTAGCTGCCTAAACATCATTAGCTATTTCTTCAGAATTTTGTCTCTGTCAGGCTGAAACCACTGAAAACCATGGCTTAAAATGCTGAGGTTTTCTTTACTCTGCCCAAGGCTTTTGAAGCAATAAACTTAGTGACTTATGATTTAAAACAAAAATATAAACACCAACGCCTATACCAGTACCAGAGCCCGTGATATCTGGGTGCTTCCAAGTAACTCTTTGAAACAAGAAGCATAAGGCAGAAGACAGTGTTGAATAGTCTTCAAAGTAGTATTAAAAAGTAATAATGTACAGCATGGACAGGAGAAGGTTTTCTACTGATGAAGCGAAACAAACTGTGAAGCAACAGCCACTTTCTCCATCTTGCTTGCACAGGCTTCCAAAAGTTTAAAGGACAATCTTAGTACAAGAAATAAACCCCACCTTCCTTTTTGAGGATGAAATGGTATTTTCAAATCTTAGAACAAGTTGAAAACTGTTTACCATAGGTTTACAACAGGGCAAATGGCTAGAGTTGCTATTTAATTTAAATTTGAAATGTTTTAGTAAGTAAAGTATTTACTGGTGACTGAGAACTTCAAATATGACAATGAACTGTTGACGGTACTCTCTTTACTTTCTCTTTTTATTTTTAATCTTTGTTCAGGGATTTTACGTTTCTCAGATGAACACTTGTCATTCTTAATTACTTGTTTGCAATTCTAAGTGGAACATTTGAGTAACCATCAAACTCTTACAGAATTTAAGGGGGAGAAAAATAAAAAAGTCTCAAATATCTCATACTTGTAGTCAGCTTTAAAGTAAACTAGAACCTTCTGTATGCTATCATCCTGTTCAGCTAGTATCTCCCAATTTTAAAGGCAAATAAAAAAAGTATGTGCACATTTTCTGCCTGCTATGTAGAAGAAAATGTTCCTTTCTGACCTTTGCAAATTATCTATTTACATCCTGAAGCATAAGATTTCATTATCCTTATCTTAGTAGGCATAAGAACCAGTGTTAGTAGCCATGAAATTATTCAATGCTTTTAAGAATTCTAGCTGCAGTATCTGACACTCTAACCTCTTTAAGGCTGACTGCACACGGTATATGACATTTTCTTTTATTTCCTTTAATTTAGTTGACATTCATTTCACTTGTATGATGAAAGAAAAAAGGAAGATTTCAGTTGCAGTCTCCTCATAATCCTGAATATTTCACTCAAAAGTCATTCTAAAAGATTTTCAATGTTAAATATTACAGCAGTACCTTGTTCTTATGAGAGCAGTCCTTCAAAATTCAGCATTAGTCAAACAAATTTTTAAAGAAAATTCTTTACTATGTTATAGCATGATCAAGTAAGACATACCTTGTTTGTTTTTATAACCAAGTCAAACCTTTGCCCCTTGCTACTTTTATATTGGTAGCCAGTGCTCTCAGATATTAATTGCTTACTTTAATTTGAGAATACTCAAACTTTAGATTTGGAAATTTGAGACCTAGAGATTGAGCAATTTAGCCAAGATCTTGTAAGGGAAGTCAGTGACAAAGCAGGGACAGACTCAAGACTCAAGTCCTATACTGTTCTCTCAACTTACTGGAAAAATCCCTCTTCTTAAAGAGAAAAGCTGCTCAGCTCATGCTTTCTGCCACACATTTCATAATCTAGAAATTCACCTCACAATGCACACAGGACACCTTGCCCTCACAACAGAGGACTGAAAGTACAAATCCTATTAAAATATTTCCACGTCCGCTTGCTCATTACATTGTTCTGCATGGGGAAAAAGTATATCTAAAATATGCCTAACGTTTAGGAAAAACTGTTAGAGGGTTGGGTTGGGTTGTTTTTTGCTACTAGCATTTTAGCTTAATAAAAAGGTAACTGCATCATGCTGATTTTTTCAGATCTCACCTAAGTGTATTTAGTTGACATTTATCTTGCCTTTTTAAATAAAATTATCATAGCTCTAAAACGGCAGTAATACAGAATATTTACTCATGATTAAACAGGCCTGTTTCAAAACATGCCTGACAGCATATGGCAGGCTTCTTCCTAAAAAGCTGGTGGAAGGTGGGGAGGTTCAGAAAAATAGAACCATGAAGTAATTATTGTATTGAATAGCGGTTCAAATTATTGTCATCCAATATACAAAGTAGTTTGTCTCCCACAAGAGGATACAAAAGCTGAAGAGCTGCTTCTGAAAGTAGGTGTTGTATCTTGGTAGTCCCTTGGTGTAAATTCTGCTGTATAGTGGCAAATGCATGTTTGCACTTATCGAGCTGTCTCTGGGAGGCAAGAATGGGAGTTTGTTTTTTCTTGAAAGTATGTTTGGCTTTGCCAAAGAAGTTGTGGTGGTGGCTGTTGGGGAGCTTTCCCCCGCCCACTCTGTTCACTGCAGCTGCGCAAGATGCAGTGCAACTAGTATGGCCAACAGCCAGTTGTCTGAGGCAAAATACTAACTTTCAGAATTGAGCCTTGGAAGAAAGTGTGGAAAGGTAGAAAGGGCTTGGCTGTAAATTCATTACAAAATGTGAATTCATGTTCTTTAATTCACATTCTGTTATATTTTGTCACTTATCTTATAATTTCCAATTTCAGGCATAATCTGTCAGGTGTCAAAGCAGAGAAAAATCTGATGCTTAAAAAATACTCGCTACATCATAGCTTTGAAAAACTGTTTCTATTGATCACGTAAACCTACTTGTGGTTGTCAGGTGTCCCTTGAACTCATTTCTATCAGTCTGGAGAAGGGCTGACTGAATTCACTG